ATGATGTCCTAAGTTAATATATGATAAATTGTTGATATGGATGATTATGTATGAGGATGTTTAAAGTTGTTTACGTTGTAATTGAAGTTGTTATGTTAAAACTACTATACATGTCATAAGTTGTGCCTTAAGTTATTCAGTTGTTAAATTATTTGGTTGCTTTTAGTTGATCATCAAGATGTTGTTTCCATTGATGTATGCTTAAAGTTATAAAACTACTTTGATGTTTTAAGTTGTCTTTTAGTTGTTAAAGTAGTAAAGTTGTAATCCATTCTAGTTGTTTAAGTTGATTTATGATGTTTTCTTAAGATGTGAATGTTGTAAAGATGTATGTTGTTTACATTGCTTAAGTTGACATGATGTGAAGTTGAAAGTTGAATGTTGCTTGTTGTTAAAGTTGTTAAGTTGAATGTTGAAAGATGAATAAGTTGTTAAGTTGATAAACTATAGATATATGAGTTAGATACATATCTTAGTTACGATATGTATAAACTAGAGGAAAGTCAAAGATGTTTTCGAACTTTAATATCTCATTGTGTGGATATACGTTGTATTGAATCCTTCAGTAAGTGAGTTGGCTTTTGAATGGGTATGTTGTTTTTCATTGTCTTCTATAGGTTTTATGTGGTATTCCGTGTGTGGGCAAGGTCGAGGCACACATGTATAAAACAACCCATCGAGTAAAGTACCAGGTCGGGGACTTAGTCTCTAACCTAGTATTAGAAGGTTGTAGTATTTGCAGGATAGTCAATGGACTAATCCCATAAATGCCTTATTGTTGTAGATTAATATTGTGATAAACTCATATCCAAATTGTTCTATCCTAACATAGTACCCTACTTCTTTGTTTAAGTAAAACCTGAGAGATCAAATTAAGTTGTCTATACCTAAATTTCTTATGAAGCCTAATGTTATACTATACTTGACCTAGTTAAGATAGGTATAACGTTGTGATTTGGTAAAGACATGTCACTTAAACTACTCACTTATTCTATAAAGGATCTCCTAGTTGAAATGTGTGACAATGCATATGATTGTTGTGTTGAATTGATTGAGTTGTTCATATGTTACGTTGAATTGTGAAGAAATGTGTTGTTATGTTGAATCAAGGTTGAATTATGTTGATTTGTGTTGTATACTGTGATTGATGGAAAACTTGTTGGAGAATCCGGTTGATGTGAATCCTCTTCAAGTTCCTCCCTAGATCTTTGGCTCCTTGATTCTTCCTAAGCATTGCTAAGGTCTCCAATGGAGAAGGAGACCTTATTAGAACCACCACGGTTTGGTGGAGAACTCTCCCAAGAGACGCCATTAATAAATTTATTAAAATTAAAAAAATTATAATTTCTGGTAATTTCCCACGGATAAATCCGTGGGAAATTTTATCCACGGATAAAAATCCGTCGGTAAATATTTCAGACGAGCAATTTACCGACGGATTGTTGTCCGTCGGTAATCCGTCAGAAATTCACTATTACCCACGGATTTTTGGCATTTCCCACGGATTCTGGCCGTTTGTAATAGCGAATTTTCTTGTAGTGTCACCTTTTTGCTCTAAACTATGTCATATTCCTTAATTATTTCAAGCACATCAATCATAGAAGGGAACAAGGAAACTAGACTCCGTAATGTACCATAATCTGAGCTCCATGTAGTATCTCTCGCCTTTTTGATTGTAGTTTCTTGATTCAAGCCATGTCCATTAGAGATCTTTCTTTTTTTCAATGTTTCTTTCATCTTTGCAATGTGATTTTCTTAAAGAATATCTTGATGCTTACATGATGTTCCAACAACATTAGAAATATTAGAAATGACAATTTCTCCATGATTGATTATGAAAACTATTTGGACCTCTAACATGAACTTGAAACTTGTCACTTTTTTCTAATTTATAAAATCTTTTGTTATGAATACATCACCACTACCTTTATGTTTTCCAATATGTGATCTCATAAGATAACAATATAAAAAAATATGTTACATCCTCCTTTTGACTATATTCTAATCAACTTCCATATTTTAAATACCAATCTGGATTACATTTATGAATGGTATCTCCAAATTGTCTTTGTGGAAAATTTATTTCTTTTAGTTGACAAGGAACCTTTTACAAATAATATCTTTTTACTTTATCACTATCACTCAAATGATAATCCGAAATTTTTGGCCTTAGACAATGATCATTAGGAAGGTTTTCTAAATCACATTCTAAAAATCTTGTTTTGATAAATGGACCCAATTTGACTTCTTTTATAACATGTATTTGAGGAAAAGATGGTTGTTCTAAAGATGATTTTCTTTTAGAATACCTTTTCATTGCTATATAATTTTAATTAATATAATATTCATCACATACAATATTTCTTCTAAATATGAAAATATAATGAGTAAATAAAAATTAAAATACTTAATTTTCTATTGAAAATTAAAAATAATTCAAATAAATTATATAAAAATAATAACTTTAAAGATACAAACTTCAAAGATCACTTTAAATATATAGTTTAACTATTGAATCGTGAAGGAGTAAAGATGGAAAAGAAGAAGTAATTTTTTTCCAATTTCACTATTTTGTACTTTTTAAAAATATGTTAAAAGTATAATGGAACTTTAACACATGAATAGAATCAGGAAAAGTAAAAATAAATAAATAAAAAGGATATAAAGTATCCAAAAAGAAGTTAATAACAACTTCCAAATTGTTTTCTTGATTTACTCAAAACACATATATTACTAATTTATGATTTTTTTATATATTTAAGATTTAAATACACAATAACTTTAAAGAGTTTTCCTTTTTATTCTAAAATAGGTAAGTTACTATTACATGCATAACTTTTATAACTTATATTAAAATATTTTCTTTTAAAAAAAATCTTCCTTCTCATGCAGAGATACCTTAACAAGTTTCCAAGATTTACTCTTTCTTGTAACTTTTTTAGTTTTTTTGTAACTTCTTTTCTATTTTAGTTTTTAAGTGGGTCCAATATAATATTTTATATATTATAACAAAAGAAATTAAAAAAGTTAGTTGGGGCAATTGACCCCCACACCATATTAAATAGATTTGTCCTTGGTTACTTGTATAATTTTCTTGAACATTATATACCTGTCTCTGATCTCTAGGATGATTTTGGACAAAGGTATAAACTAGAAAAGAACTACTATTGATATGATTAATGACATTGCTCAATGCTAAAGTGAATCAACTTCTTTTTAAAAGGGCTTCTCGAAATATCCATCCAGGCTTCAACAAGCTATTTTAGCCATTGCATAATATAATTAGAGCATGTTTAGACACAAGTTTAGAAGGACTTTTAAAAATTTATCTACTTATGAATATTCTTCATTTTTAGTAAAAAATTTCTCAAAAATCCAATTAGACTATATCCAAACTTTCTCTTAATTAATTTGAATAATGTTTAACAAAGAACAAATTATATTGACTTGTTTGACCTTCCACAAATCTTCATCAATTATTAAATCCACAAAAATAAGCCAGCAAGGAGCGTCGATGTTGATTAAAGGAACTATAATTGTACCTTCCTAGATATATTCTGAGAGGGTCACTTTGACATGGTCTACATGGAGAGTGCCCCGACCTAATCCCTATGCCTTTCAAGTTTGGGGTTGATAGGCAAGTGTACCTTCCTTGGCATTTTTTGACATTGACCCACCTTCCAAATATATTTCAATTGAACCCATACCATAAGAGGTCGAAATTAGTCTAACCTTTTTACCTAATTTGATTGATTAGACTAGGAACGAAAGGTTAGTCAGTATCAATTTGATCCTTTATATCTCATACATTGCCAATCAACAAACCTAGAAGAGGTCATAATTGGCCAACTCCTTTACTCCAATAATAGAATTTTATATTTAATAACCAATTATCTTTAATAACCAAGATCACATATCATCAAGATACAATAACCAGAAGGTGAGTAATGATTCTATGAAATCTCAAAGTTTTCGAGACCCATAAATTCATAATTGTCACGTATAAAAACTCTAACCCTAGAGTAAAGTAGGACAAAATACACTTTTGAATGTTCTAACTTTAGTTGAGTAGTTAGATTAACCCTAGTACATTTTTTAAACTGAAACAGTAATAAATTAAGGAAACTTAGAGGAATAGAAAGAATTAAAAGTGTAATTCAATTAAATTTTGAAAGTACCAATATAATTTGCACTAAAATCATAAAGCATTAGATCAATATAATTTGAACCAAAATCTTAAAAGCATTAATTTGCCATGTAAATAATTGTTCAATGATTAAAATCAACATTGTTAAAGACATAAATATATATACAAGCTCCAAATTAATTTTTAAATTTAAATGATTAGTAGGCAAATTTATTTACTATTAAGTAGTTGGTTCAAGTAGTATCGAACTTGATTTCTTTAACCAAAATTTATGAATAAGAAAACATAATTGATAGGAAATACCTTAATAAAAATTAGTTATTAACAAAATCAATAAATACTTCTTACCAATAATATAATTATATAAAAAAGTCAAAATAAATAATTTAAAAGCAACTTATTAAACTTTAATAATCGTTATGTGTATATGAAGAAATTGGTTTTTGTAATTATCTCTAAATTGTATGGGATTGTGCCTTACATTAACTTATAAAAAAAAAAAAAAAAAAGAGGTGTAAATATCATGAACTTGATAGAAGTAGGCAAGCCTATTGAGGCATGGTAGGCAAAGCCAAGTACGTAGAAACCAACTATTGGACCTACGAGAAGCACAAGGATGGTCTGATAAATTAAGAAGAACCAAAATAACTGGTTTAGAAGTTTGTCCTTCCCTGGGAAGTGGAAATCCAAAATCCAAGAAATGAAGAAAAAAGGTGAGTTAAGAAGAAACGTTCTCAATTGCCCCACTCATCCTTTTCCTAGCCATGCAAGGAACAGTGCGAAGCTAAATAGAATCACTTTATTCAAACCTATAATCATTAACCATGTCATTGAGTCCTCCAAGAGAAAGAAACAACAATGTTATTGGTGGTGATTATAGTAAATCCTTCATTGTCTACCATCTGTTATCTACTGAATTTGTAATCCCTTAACAAGGTTAAAAACTCAAACTTTATGAAATTAGTAGTTAATTGATTGAAGAGAAATTTTTGCACGATCAAAATGCTTGGAAAAGATTTTCTAAAAATTCATGCACGTGTATTTGCGACCGCAATTTATTTTAATTGGGCTATACGTCTTTTAGGACTCTCCAAACGAATTTTGAAACCTACGGAGAAGAGAAAATGAAAATGGCACAAGTTGAATCATATTGATGAGTAACAGATGTTAGGATGTCGATTAAATATTGGCTCCATGTACTGAAATTAATCTTTGCACTAATTTTCAGCATCTAACTGGAGACACAACTCTTGCTGTATTCTTTAAGCTCTGCGCGATGACTCACGTTCAAGAGCTGGTTGGAATTCTGACTTGTTTGTAAAGCCGTCATGCTCACCGGTAAGTTAATTCAAGCATAAATCTCGTGGGTTTTAGTTCCTTTTAATTCCTTTTTTACAATTTTATTGCAGATTGGTGATGGCGTGATTAACAAATATTGAAAAATGAACATTGAAAAGGAAATTTTTTCAATACAGGAAGCCTGATTTCAGAAGCTTACGACTTTATACGAACTACAGGGATTAGAAGTAAAAAAGAAAAATAACAGGAATAAAAACTACTGATTTTTATAGAAATTAAAAATAAAAACAGATGTATATTATGGAGATTAAACAATTAATTAAGCCATAAATATATAAATTACACAGTTCTAATCAAAAGCCAGCTTCAATGGCTGGAGTGCGTTTTGCAGGGGCAACATGGGCTTGCGATTCAAAAATTAAGTAAATAAGCTTTCAAGCTTCCATCAAGTTATTAAAAACCAAATTCAACAACATATACTACGAAGTTCGAGATCTGTATACTGCACGGCTCTTCTCTTTCATTTCATAGATGTTGCATTTATTTGTTCAATTTAACATATAAATACAAGATAGTTAAATACAAATATACTAATAGGGTGAGAATAAGTGTTGCCACAAAAAGATACCATCATATTGGCAGATTTGTTGATTACGATGTTAGACCAATGCGTGCACTGTAAATATTATTTGTTATTAAAAATGACAATATTTGCCTATTATCATAACACAAGTACACTTGTTATATGTGAATAGGAATGCTATGTCGTGAAAAAAAAAATATTATAATTCATCATTGTAAAATTAAAAGCCGATTCTCTCAACCAGTGAAGTCCTTAGTAATTTATTACAATAACCTAAGTGAAATATAGTTTTGATCCTTTTGTATTGCTTATAATATGTTTCTTTTTTTTACTGAAACTCTTCAAAGAAAAAATATTAGGTTAAATAGGTTCGATAGTTTTTTGATTTACATTTCAGAGGTTTTGTTTGACCTATTGGATCTAGTGAGTTGGATCTATTAAATGAGTTTCGTTGTTTCCAACTTAAAATTTAATAGTTTGGCCCAATTTTATTTGCAAGATATTCGTATTAACTTATTGTAGCAAATGTATTTTGTTAGTTACATGAGGTGAAATTTGCAAGAATAAATGAACTTGGTATTTTTTTCCCTCCCTTTTCTCGAGTAACACTAACAAGTAATAATTACTTGTGTGGATAATTATTATTTTAAATTCAAGTGACAATTTAGACTCTTTTAATAATAAAACTGTAAGATTGCTTAATTAAAGAAATGAATATTATTCCGGCTAAGGGGTGTATAGGGTTCTTCTCCAAGGTCAATCCTCCCAAGTCAGAGTATTCAAGAGTGAAAGATGCCCCATTAGGTTTAGGGTTCAAGGTTTTATAGTTACTCCTTGTGGGCTTCGTAATCCCGTTAGTTTCGTGATTCTTAGTCGTTTTTTATGTTCCGAATATTTGATTATCATTAATGGAATTTTATTCCTGATATGGTGTGTGCTAAGTTAAAGTTATCGTCTCTAAGTCCCCCAGTAAAGATATATCGAAAAGAAATCGAGATAATACTTATGGATGGTAACCCCTGCTTGTCCCTTGACCCAAGGTATTCCATCTTGGTATTTCATCTCAGCCAAATGTCTATTGGTAAGCCATATCAGTATAAGTCCAGGACGGTACACTTGCCTTCCAACCCTGAGCTATAAGGCAAAAGGGCTTGAGTAATCACAATAGCGACTTGATACCTCTTGTCAAAGTGGTGAAAAAGTACATCTGGAACGGTGTCGTCCCTAAAGATGTATAGGAATTTTACCGACACATATTATGGATCTCGGTTATCCTTCTAGTGAAACCATCTTGGAAATAGTCCGAGATGGTACACTTACCTTCCAGCCCTGAGCCTATAAGGCGAAAGGGCTTGAGTGATCACGACAGCGGCGTAGTGTCTTCCCTCAATGAAGATGTGTTACATCTACTTGATGAAAATCGTCTCAGAATTATTATGCGACCATATGCTCTTGTATTGCATTTTCGAATACCTGGTGTGAACCAGTGTGAGTAATCATAACGTTCAACATTTGGGGGTCTCGTGATTCCATCAAATGTTGTCTTTTCGTATTACGAGAAAGGGGGCACACATTTATTGCAAAGCCTAAGGTCGAGAAATTGCAGACCGAACTTCAAGCCACCAAAATAGAAGCCATGAAGAAATTTGTGGAAGGCTTTGACGTTGCAACTGTACAATTGAAGTTTCTTCACAACGACCTTGACTTAGGGGGCATCGGGTACTTTAAGGAGATTGTAGATGGCGCGTTGGTGGATCTCCCTAGAGATGACTGAACTTAACTTCGAATTGAATGTGTTTGTAATCCTGACTATAAGGTTTTGATGTATGACTATTGTAGACCCCTAAAATTGTCCGGGTCGGAAATAAAGCTTGAAGACTCTCGAAGACTGAAGGATAATCAGCCAGAAGGACTCCTCGAAGGCCCTAGGAGGGTTCTCTGCAGGTCCAGAGGTCTTAGAATAGCTCAAAATAAAGAAGTAGAGGGAAAAAGCCCAATACGGCCGTACTGAACTCAATACGGCCGTATTGAAGCTTCAATACGGCCATACTGAAGTCAGTACGACCGTATTGACACTTCAATACGACCGCGGCGAACTCAATACGGGCGTATTGAGTTGAAAAGTGTCAAATGACGTCCAATTGACGTCATATTTATAGGGAATAGGCAATTAGAGTTTAAATATAATTGTGGGTTGTCAAATTAACTATATATATAACAATAACATTGAATGAAAAATTAGGAGGTTTTACATGAGTAAAATTAGTAAATCAACCTTTGATGGTTCTTGTTATAAATTCAAATTTGTCATAATTTACTGTTTTATTTTATTTTTATTAAATTTAAATATTTATTTTTAAATAATTTAAATTTATATTAAATTATCTATTTAGTACCAAAATTATATTATACCATTATAAACTCAAATCTATGTGGATTTAATAACTTAGACTTCTATATAATTTGTTACACAATTAATATATATTTATCAAATAAATATCATTCAGGGACATTGTGGTACATTTATAAATACTTATTCAAACATAAACTTAACAATCTAAGATCATTTCATTTATTTGTTTTTATTAAGTATAAGGCTTTGGCATGGCCCCAACTACGTTTGGGATTCTAAACATTTTTGTACCTATATTCAAGGTATTTAATGTTATATTTACGTTAAATTAAAAAAATAATATTGAATTTTTATTATAAAATCCACACTTTTAACGTAAAAAGTTCTTATCCCAAATTACTTTATTTTAAGTAAAATTAATTTTATAAAATAAAGATGATTCAAAATCAAGAAAGCTCTCGCCCAAATACAAACTGAAAGAACAGTTTGAATGTCACGAGTGCGAAATTTCAATCGATGGAGATTGGGCCTGCGAGGGATGGGCAAAAGTGCAGTCAAAGATTTATAAATTGGAAGCTTGTTCGGATACGAAAGAGGCAAGATCCAAGTGTGAATATACTGTGAATCAAATTAAAATAAAGAATATACTGTGAATCTTCCTAAAAAAATAAATCTGTGAATCTTCTATATTGGAATCAAATTAAATCTACTATATTTTTTCACAGATAAAATAAAGAATATACTGTGAATCTTCCTAAAAAAATAAATCTGGTACGGTGGGTATCATCAAATCAACAATCGTATTTCATAGCTATTACTATCATATTACATGCAACGAGTTAAATATCTTGCAGAAACAGCACCACCAATTTGTAATTAACTTCATGTGCTTCTTCTTAGTTCGTGGCATAATATGTTTCTTTTTTTTACTGAAACTCTTCAAAGAAAAAATATTAGGTTAAATAGGTTCGATAGTTTTTTGATTTACATTTCAGAGGTTTTGTTTGACCTATTGGATCTAGTGAGTTGGATCTATTAAATGAGTTTCGTTGTTTCCAACTTAAAATTTAATAGTTTGGCCCAATTTCAACCGTGCCGATAACACAATGTTGATTTTCCTTTTAAATCATGTAATTATTTATTTCTCACTTAGCATAATACAAGCAATCATTATACAAAGGAGGATTGTTGGTCACTTTAACGGACACAACTTCTTATACAAAGTAATAAGCATAGAGAGAGAGGGAAATAAAGATTCCAACAAGATAATGATAGAAGAAAGGCATAGACAAACCTGAAGTATTTCACCTAAAGCCTCCTCAGGTGCCATTCTCAGGCCACCTTTTCCCAAACCAAGCCGCTGAGATAACACTGCTCAGCTTTGAAGCAACAAAGAAATCCTATTAATATCCATTCAAGTAAAGCGACACAAACACGTGAGGTTTACAAAATTATGCATACCTTTGAGATCTACTTTGGTACCAGCTAAAGCAGAAACAACATACAACCTGTTTTTCTTGTCCTGTTTAAATTATCTCAATGGGTGTGTATGCATTTTACTCTACATAATATTAAAATAAATGGTCATCACTCATCATATGCACAACGAAACATTGTTTGAATTGTGTATACTTTCAAGTTCGACATTAATAGGTGAGAAAGCAATAAACAGGTAAATGTGTTCCTAAAGAGGTAAAATGGTAAACTATTGAATTAATATGAAACCACAGGATGCAAAAATAACCACTACGTCCTGCACAAATGTTTCATCAAATGAACCGTATTCAAGTAAAGATCCCTCCTAAAGTTAGTTCCAGGAGAATATGTTGTACAGCTTTATAAGTGGAACCTATAAGCTATAAATAGATGTTTAGGGGTAGAGAGGCAGGAGAAAGGATTGTATGAAAACTGTATTACAGTTGTTTGAAGGGAACAACTCTTCTGGTGGCAGAGCAGTAAATTCTGATTATATCTTCTAATTTTTTTATTTGTTACTCTTGATTTTACTGTCAGAGGACCTACCAAAACATGCAGGAAATCTATTATATTGTACAAGCATGTTTTCTTCATTTGCCACCATTTTTATCTAGAAAACATTTTGAAGTGTTAAATTTAACTAGAGAAAGGGAAACGTACATCTTTTGTATTTCTTTGTGGATCCAAAAATTTGTTTATCAGTTTTATTTTATCATACTTCAATAGTTTTTAGTTGTTGGTTTGGCACACTACTTTTATTTTTACGCACAGATGTTTACTCTTTAAGGTTGAGCTGTGGTTCAATGGTAAGGTTTGTCTGGTGACTTGAAAGTCCTAGTTCAAATTTTGGAAACATACTCTTTGCATATTGGAGTAAGGCTGCATACATCGCCCCTCCCCAAACCCCACCAGGTGGAAGCCTCATGCACCAAGTAGCCCTTTTACATATTTTTACCTAACGCAATGTATCTATGTATCTTCAAATTAAGTGCATGCTGAACATATTGTTTCTGGAAAATAGTTGCTTTTTTTCTTTCTCAAAGGCTTCCAACTCAAAGTTGACTAAAGCTAGCAATTATTTGTCCAAAAGAAGCTGAATATAACATACACTAAGCATTTTGGTGTCTTTTGAGAATCTTTAGCCTGCCTTCAAATACTTTACCACTTCAACTACCTGTATCTTTAGATTAAGTGCATGTTAAATAGATTGTTTCTGGTAAGTAATTGCTTTTTTTTTTTTCTTCAGCAAGACCTTCCAACTCAAATTTGACAAAAAAAAGCAATTATTTCTCCAAAAAAAATCTGAATCAAACATACACAAAGGGTGCGTTTTGTGAAGAAATTTTTTTTCATGTCCGATAATCATACATTAAATGCCCTCTTAAGTATTTTTTTTCCAACTGTATAACCAGCACACACACACAGTGAGACATGCTCAAACAACAAAGTTCAGTTTTCCTTATACTTTCCTGATGAATATCTATGACTAGAGTTAATTCATTAAGATAGCAGCCATTCACAAATCAAAAGGAATGTTGACAACAACACACACACACAAATAAAAAATAAATAAAATAAAAGATTTAATAAAATAAAAAAGAAGAAGATTGGTTTGCTTTACCTCTGCGGATTTTTCTGGACCCTCAAATGCTCTTGTTACCTACAATACCCAAAGAGAAAGGCATCCTAGTTAATATCATCAGATCTTCAATTGAAAAACAACAAAGGTTCACCTAAAACAGGACCAAGTTAAGAACTCACCGCCGGCCAGGGAGTGTTGGAGCGATTTAACGGAGAAGGAAGCGGCGTTGGAACAGAAAAGAAATTAACGGAGAAACGGAGAAAGAGGGGTCTGCTAGGGCAAGAGTCAGAAGGAGAAATTTCACTCGTATCACGGAGAAGGAGGAAGGTTTCACAAAACTAAATTATAAAAGTAAAAAGAAATTAATTCGAGCATTTTTTTTAATTTTAATTTGTGCTTAGTTTATTTAAAATAAATAAATAAATAAACATTTATTTTAAAATTTAATTTGAATCAAATATATTATTATTGAATTAGATTAAAATAAAGAAATTATTTTAAATTTCACTCGAATAGGATAATCATATTAATTTATTATCAAATTTTTAATTAATTTTATATCCTATTAATATAATTAAATAATTATATTAATAAATAAAGTTTATAAATAATTAAATAATATTTATCTTAAAAATAAACATTATTTTTAAATGTTAGGTTGTTAGATTATGAAAATTAAATCATAATAAATCAAAAGATTATAAAAATTATAATTCAAATCAAAAGAAATCAAAAATATTAAATACATTAAAATATTATAATTAAAAAAATTCAGTATTAAATCAAAAGAGTATAAAAATCATAACTAAAATTATAATAAAT